AGCAGGAACAATAGTATTTAACATTTGATAGGATGGTGGTTTTAGTCTGAATGTTTTATTTAACTTGATCAAAGACTCTGCACCACTGAAACACAACGGTACAACTTGTGCTGTTTACCCAACCATCATACCTAAGCCTGTAGTAAGGATCATACTGGGGAACACTGCTGCATTATTCAGGTATATTAATATTTAATGAATTTATTGACTACAGCATGAAGAGAAATGAAGGAAAAAAAATGAGCACTTTATTTCCAATTGGTTAATGACAAGTTTGTCTCAAATAATGAGTGCTTCAAAATATGCTTAATTCATAGTATTTGTATCATTAATATTTTTAAAACAGAATTGTTGATTATACTTTGCTTCTTTAGACCTACCCTTAATTGGTTGGTTGCTCAATTCACTGTTTATGATGCAACTTTTCAGTGGGATAAATACATCAGATAAGTTGTCTTCTCTTATTAAGAAAAGAAAACAAGTATTAAATATTCTATTCTCTGTAAAGGTTATTAACTTTGGATAATTATAAATAAACTAATAAAATCTCTGATTTTTTTGTGATTTTAACTTTACAGATCCATAGAAAACCCAAATATAAAACTATGACTCCCCGCGTTGTAACATCATACCTTAAGGTTCTGTTCCCATAACATCCCAGGTCTCCAATACCAAGATCATCAGCCATCAGTAAAAGAATATTGGGATTTGAAGCGCTGTGTGTTTTGACACTGTTTATGGAACACTGGCAAATTATTAGAAATAAAAATAGTCTCATCTTCTTCCTGGTGTGTAAGAACAGATGGAAAACATAACAGATAGACTTTTTTAATTTGACTGTTAACCTAATTTAGTCTTATTATTGCCCTGGATTGTACAGTAGAAGAGAAAAATAAAATTATATTGTATATTTTATTTTTTTTAATCAAGGGATTTTTTAACATTATTTTTTCTCTCATATTACTTAAAAACAAAAATACATCTTTAAGTATATCACTGTTTTTTCCTTCCATACCTTTACATAAATAAAGACCAAGAAAGAACTAGTTACAACCTCAGCGACAATAGTTTTGCATACAGAGATGCATTACACAGCAATAAATCATGGGAGCAAATAAGGTTTTTTTCTTTTATAAGTATAAATGTTATTTGAAAAACACAGAAACTGAATAATTTAGGACCAAAAATTTCCAAGTTTCATTGCCTAAAATAAGTTCATCAATTTTGCTATTGAAGTAAACCCCAAAACAACAACAAAAAACCCCCTAAAAACCAAACCAGTTTGAGTTTCTTGACAGGAATAAGTATTATGAAAAAGGGGGTGAAGAGATGAATTATCACATTATTGAAAGGAATAATTAAGAAAAAGCTCTTTGCAAACATTTTAAATATCAGGGTCTGTAGCAAAATTATGTAAAAATATTTGATATTGTATCACAATGTTCTATAAACAAAGCTCATGCTATATCCAACTTAAAACAGGAAGAATAATATATTGTATGCAGTACTACTTACCATTATATGTTTTTTTTTATAAAAGTACAGTCTATTTGCAGATGTGCATGCTATGAATTTTATTTTACTTAAACAGGGACTTGTTGTATCTCTGTTTTAAACTGCATTTACTACACCCTGTCTGAAATTGAGTGCCTCTAGGCTATGAAGGACTGTGCCAGGTGTACATACCAAAAAGGAACAGAGACTGTCTCTCTTTTGCCCCTAGTAACACTCCAATTTTTTCTGGATCCAGGCAGCCTTTTTCAAATGCAAATGAGGCATGAGTCACACCTGCACTCTGGATTATGCTAGGACAAGAAGGAAAGCAGAGGAAACCAAGACTGAGGTAGAAATTTGAAAGTGAAAAAGTAGGAAAAGGAACTAGAAACAATAATTTCCAGAGAGAATGGAGACATCAGGTCAAGAAATTAAAAACTTGTAAATCAGCGAGTTATGGTAGATAAAAGTAACTGGAGAGAAGACAAAGAAGCCAGAACTGGAAGAGCTGGTATAAAGAGATTAGACATCAAGGGAGAGAGATTCATGAATCAGTGAGGTGTGGTGGGGAAAAGTATCTGGAGAGATGAAGTAGTCAGAACTAGAAGAGTTCACTGACTTAAATAAAGAGCAAGAAGGGAAGCTTGAGACCCAGGTGGAATACGAATTGCAAGTTGAAATGAGGAGAAATGGTAGAGGGTTTAAGAAACTGGAAGGGATAGTATGACAGTGGATAGGAAAACAAATTGAGGAAAAGAGGTGAGAGAACTGTGAGTGCCTGGGATGAAAAAACTGAGGAGTTATGATTAAGGCAGATGAAGAGAACTGATTGGAAAGACCCTGGGCAGACAAGACTTGGGACTGATGCAAGTGAGAAGAGATCAAAATAGTTGGGGATCAACCAACACAGACGGGGATTTCTGATTCCCAACCTTGATTATTGCCATTCTGTCAGAAAGTATAAGTGCAAAGAGGTTTTTAATTCTTTCAGTGCTTATTCACATACAGATAAAACACTAGTAAGTACATCAGCTGATTTTTACTGCTTAATGTACGCTTTATAACCCATTTACCTCACATTGATGACAACAGTTTTTGTTGACTTCAGTTAGCAACATCTCAAGTTCCCAGCTTTATCACTGCGGCCACAGATTGTTACCTGGTTTACTCCATGGGAAACAATCTACTTTGTTTCAGACGTGGAAAATATACACACAAACTTTAAGACTAAAATACCAAACACAGTTCTGCTTGGTGGGATGCATCTAACCAACCCTCCATCAAATTACCATACTAAGATGTGTAGCACCTGCCACAGTGTAGACTTTTAATCTGTGCAGTAGATTTACCTTTCTTCCCTGAAAGGATACACAAGCGTGAATTGCTTCCCACACATTGCAAGAGAACAACTAACACGCTGACCCCATCAAACAGGAAAGACCTGCTGCCTGCTCTTATGTTCCTCCTCCACTGTTCAGCCTGTGATGGTCTCAAGGCCCATGGTAACAGGGACACCGAAAAGGGTGACATATATGTTGCTGACATTATATACAAAGTTGCACAGATGCTTGCAGGACCTGCACGTTTATTTCACAGAATCATTGAGTGCCCTCAGTTATGCTGTAGGCTTCACGTTGTCCGAATAAAACCTACACTCCTGCCACTAATAAAACCATAATTTTAAAGGTACAAAAATAGCTGGTTTTTCAAGTTTTACAAGCAGCAGTTCCAAGGTTTAATTCAACTGGTACAAACAAAATATCCTATGTTTTAATTAGAAGGTATGGAGCTATGGAGAGTAGTCTTTCTGAATATGTGTGGGGTCTTTAGCCACCAATGAACAGAGCAAATCAATTTCTCTTTTACTGAGCAACATTACTGTTGGAAACCAGAGTAGTAGCTTATTTTATTTTCCAGAATGAAAGAAATCTAAAAAACGAGTGAAATATCTTAGAAATTAACTGACTACAACTTATCTGAACTCTAAA